GGAGCCGCGCTGGGCCGAGCTGCGCTGACGGCCTCTCTCGCTGCCTCTTGCCTTGCAGAGGATCGGGCTGCAGCTGCGCGCCACGCTGGAGAACATCACCCGCCTGCGCGCCGAGGGGGAGGACTTCCGCTGGTACCTCAAGGTGCGGCGGGCCCGGGCGGCCGCGGGGGCTTCGGGGGCGGGAAAGGCCGCCCTCGGCGTCAGGAGCCCGTTGGGCCGTCCAGCGGGGCAGCGGGCGATGGAGGCCTGTGGTGGTGAACGTCACGTCACTCGGCTTAAAAAGCGATGTTGTTTTTTCCGCACAGCGCAAGCAGGCTGCTACAGGAGCAACGAATGTGATGGTATAAGTATATAGACATCTACACATTAGCGCAAGCATGACACTATACATTGGTCTGCAATAATGAAAACTCTTAAGTTCAAGTGTTGGTCTGCACCTCCGTTGGTGAGGTGGTTGGTAATCCAGTACCCATTGGCAGGTAACCCAGGTAAGTGGCGAGATGTGCTGTATCTTCTGTTTCGTGACCGTGATTTGTAACACATTTTCCATCCAACGCACCCAAGGGCAGGCCCTCTGCGGCAGGCATACCCGCCAGGTCGAGTCAGCTCCTGGGCCTGTGGGGACAGACAGCACCTCATGCCTGCCTCCGGCTCCTCTCGGTGGGGTTTGTGAATCTGGGGGCCTCACATCAGCTCCTTCAGCTTTTTAATGCCTAATTATTGACAGCTTTAAATTCTCTGATTTATGTTTATTTTTCAGCTGAAATGTGGGAACTGCGGTGAAGTTTCTGAAAAATGGCAGTATCTGCGATTGATGGTATGTTTCCCTGTTGTAACCTGCATCAGAACAAAAATGGGAAAACAAACCTGCCTCTTACATGCAAGGGATATTAGCATCAGGGATGTGGCAACTTGCACTTTAGATGAGAGTATTTGAATAGCTATATGCATTCAGGAAATGCTGTCATATTCCATATTAAAAAAATATTTGGAGACTGTTAATTGAAATATGCCATTGGAATGGTGACTGTTGGTGACAGAAAGTATTTACATCTGCTTTGAAAAGCAATTTGAAAACAAATTTTGAAGTGATAGCAGAATAAGGTTGTGCCTTTAGCATATTTCACTGATGCTGATGGAATCTTTTTGGAGAAGTTTAGGTAATTCAAGGTGAGTTAAGCATGCTAAATTAGCATTTAGAAACTGAAAAAGCAGGATAAAATTTGTCAGGGGTAAGAGAAGGTTCTGTTCTTAGGAATAATCATCCCTCTTTTCTGCATACTACTGAATGGTAAGAATGTGTTTTGACGAATTAATGGAACATGCCTATATAGACAAGACATAACTATCCATTATTCTGTATTTTAAGTCTAGAACAGAATTATTCTTTGATAATCACAGCTTTCTGAATTATAGACCTCTGTAGTTTAAAAAAAAAGCCTTCTCGTTGCAATATTTGTAAAAAGTTAAAGACCATTGTTGTAAAACTACTTGACCTTTGCAGAGGTTTCCAGTGGCTTGGCTAGAGTGCAGTTTAAAATGATGTCTCTGCTGTCACGGTTTTTAGGACAGTGCTCCCCTGAAAGGAGGCAGAGGAAGTGCCACTATGGTGCAGAAATGCAAGCTGTGCTCCAGGGAGAACTCCATTGGTATGTGCTTAGAAATTTAAGAGGCATCACTCGTTTTACACTTTTTCTCCTAAGTTTATATTTTAGTCCCCGTTTTTGCGTGATGCTGTTTGTAAAGTGCATTCACCAGGGATTTTTCTCCTTGTACACTGGTGCTTGAGGTCACAGCAGGTACATATTTGTCATCATGCTTATGAAGGAGGCAGTAAGGCCTCCTGGTGAGTTCAGGTTTCTGCATGAACAAAACTCGTATCCGTAATGTCATTTTACAAAAGCATGCAAATTTTTTTTTGCATTGGTAGGGTAACAAAATGGTGTAATGTAAACTTCTCAGGAGATGTGAGAAAAATTGAATTCTACCTTTTGAGGACCAACTGCAGGAACTGCTTGGTTACTTTGTTTCTTTTACTCTGTATAAGGACATTTCTTCAAAAGAAGCAGCTGGTGCTTGGTTTTTGCTGAATAAGACTGAAGGCATAATGTCACTCACTTTTACACTTCTGATTTTTTTTTTTTTTTAGATATTTTAAGTCAGACAATCAAACCTTACAATGTAAGTTTGCTTCCTCTTTTATATAACAAGTGAAAGATAAATAACCATTAATAATATTTTGAGGTTTTGCTTTATCATCACATTCCTCTTTCAAGAACACAAAAAGCCGGTATCCTCCTCTGACAGAAAATTGTCTCTTGTAGGCTCCTGCACACAGTCTCAAGTGTAGAATAATCCGTGATACTTTCATAAGCAAAACACAAAACTGTATCACTCAAATTAGATGCAATTATATAATGCCCATATTGGTTTCCTTTTGAAGGCTTCCTTGTGGCAGATTAAGAAATTTTAGTTAATTACCACCTCTTAAATGAGCCCTAGGATTTTGTTGTCACTAGGGACATCAGAGTTGATAGTACTGCCTTTAAAGCAATTCATTCCTACACTAGTGCTTGTCACTGTCTTTCCCT